GAACACAGAGGTGGTCATGGACTGAATTGTGTACTATAACCCTTGGCAACTTAGAGTACAGTGTTTGAAGAGAAGGTCTTTAAAAAGGTAATTAAGTGAAGATGATATCATCAATAGGCTCTAATCCAATGTAATCAGTGTCCTTATAAAAACAGAAGATTAGCACACAGACACGCACAAAAGGAAAACCATGTCAGGACACAGGAAGAAGGTGGCCATCTACAAGCCAAGGAAAGAGGCCTCTGAAGAAACCAATTCTAGGAACACCTTGATCTTGGACTTCTAGCCTCCAGAAATGTAAGGAAATAAATGCCTATGGTTTAAGCCACCTGGCTCTAGTACTTTGTTCTGGCAGCCCTAACAAATTATGAGAGGCACAGAGATATCAAGGGACTCTTGTGGGGTCACAAGAAAGACAGTCAGGCTTCTAGCATGTTCTTCTTTCTTTCCCTTGGAATAATAATTCTTAAGCTATTGGTGTCTGCTTTGGGAGTTAATGTTTTTATATGTAAATAAACACTTAAAATATTAAGATGGAGAAACTCCAAGTAGCATTTTAATTCCGTTTATTTTGGGTTCTTCTCCCAGTTAAGATGCAGAAGAACATGAAACAACAAAACACTGTATAAACTATGAAATTACTTTTTTAAGTTTATGTATTTACTTTGAGAGAGAGTGTGAGTGGGGTGGGGCAGAGAGGGAGAGAGAGTGGGTGAGAGAAAGAGAGAATCCCAAGCAGGCTCTGCACTGTCAGTGCAGAGACCAACACAGGGCTGGATCTCACCGACTGTGAGATCATAACCTGAGCTGAAATCAAGAGTTGGATGCTTAACCGACTGAGCCACCCAGGTGCCCCTTATTTTTATCCACTGGACAGCTGAGGTCTCAATGAGGTTTGGAGGAGAACCAAATTTCAGAGGGATTTGGAAATAAGCAAAGACCAGTAGCCACATTTATCCCTGGAGCACAGGTGAGCTAAGCAACATCAGACGGAGGATCTTGTGAGAAAGAAAACAGCCAAATCTGATCAACCATGTGAGCTGAAATGATGGGTCAGACCTGGAGTAGAGATGCCCTGAATCTACTCCACCAGACTTTTACCAATATGGTGACTCGTAAGAAGCCAGGATGAGAATGAAAGAGAATGAGACCTCCATGGTGATCTGGGGGATGGGACCGAAGCTCTTTTGGCTCTGCCTCCAGACACGTGAGCCAGGGGCAAGCTGAAAAGTAGTCCAAATTGCAACCCAAATCAAGCCACCTCATCTCCAGACGAAACAGCCGAGTTTACCTCCTGAGCCCTGCTGCCTCTCTGTCACAAGAGAAGCCAGCTGAGGACAAGCTGTCAGAGAGAGAAGCAACCGCTGAGAAGCCCCACCTACACAGCCTGCCTGAGGTCCAACCTCCCGCTCTACTCCTCAGTTCCCAGAGCCCAGGCCAGTGATGTTGTTAATGTTTAAGCCAGTTTGATTTCTGTCATTTCCAACCAAACGAATCTTAATGGATGCAAAACACAAGTCCTGACCATTTATTACAGATTATAAACACAGTTGTTATGCAAATTACTGCATAAATTGGCAATACACAATTTCTGACGAGTTGTGGCATCCTCTAAATACTCACTAAAATTAACTTTATAATGCTATAAATGAACCAAAACAATACTACAAAGTAACTGTAATGATCTTCTAAAACAATCTAATAGAACTTGAAGGATAAAGCAGACATCAAGTGCACCTGGGTGGCTCAGTCAGTTAAGCATCTCACTCTTGATTTTGACCCAAGTCATGATCTCACAGTTCTAGCCCCACATCAGGCTCTGCACTGACAGCATGGAGGCTGCTTGGAATTCTCTCTCTCCCCTCCTCATCCCCCCCACCAATCCCCTGCTCTCTCTTACTCTCAAAATAAATAAACATTTAAAAAAAAAAGAGAGAGGCATCAATGCCTTCACAGGTACCATTGTCAGATGGCATATTTGTGTTATAAGGAGCCCACCAAAACACGATAGAATTCCTGTTTTGACAGTCCCTTGCGGCAAAGGAGTATTAATGTTCTGCCAACTACCTCAACCATCCACATATTACAGCGACCATGACGGAGGAGCAGACAGAGATCGAAACTGTTACTACAGTCCATGAAAATGCTAAGTGGGAATATTCTAAACAGAATCCAATGGGTAACTAAAATAAGCATAGAAGACGAAAAGTTTTGAAGTCGAAATTGAGAAACATTTCAAAATATTCAAAGTAACATTTTAGTTGTTGGGAGTAGCCCTCAAACCTTTCAAAACCTCGTGCTGTGACAAACAAATTAAAAAAAAAACAGAAGAAGAAAGAAAACAAAAGAAGAAAAGAAAGGCTCACAGGCTCCATATTTTTCATGCCAAGTTCCAACCTGGAGTGATGCTTTATGATCAGTTAAGGTCCTAAAAATAAGGGGCAGTAAAGGTAATAGGACGATACTGTCCTCTCTCTGGGAGCCCCAAAGACTGCTAAAAATGCAATCTCAGTAGTACCTACTAGAAGGCAGTAGGTCTTTCCAGGCGGCCTCCATTGTGTCAATCCCTCTGTCCCCAGAGAGAACAGGGTGGCTTACCACAGTTCAACTCTCAGGTAAACTGAGTGCTTCATGGAGGAGGAAGAATTATCACCCTCCTCCTCACTGCAAGAGCCAGCTGGTTACTCCCAAGCCGGGTCCAAAGTTGGGGTAACACAAGACCCTGGACAAGGCACCACGATGCACCTGACAGCCACGTTTGGCCATACAGAATACGTTCCCATCGGGAATCGTGGATGATTAATCCAATTAATAGTTCCAGGAAACCAAAAATGTATCTTGCTAGTTCCCCAGTAAATTGATTTTCTCAGCTTCTACATCTCAGAGTTAAATTTCTGAACTCCCAGAGAGTTAATCTACACTAGACAGGGCCTAATTGATTGCTGACTAGCAAAACTTATCAGAAGGCCCACTGTCTGTCTCCACACAGCAACAAAATTAAAGGGTATTTCACAGAAAGCAAGAAGGGCCAGAAGGGAAATCTATGCTTTTCTCCCATGTCCGTGTTCCTGCCCAGGACAGAGCCTGGCACAGCAGGGCACACTGATGGGGGATGTGAGGGCGGGGAAGGAGAGAGGATTTTTTTAAGCAAATTCAGAAATTCCTCCCATGGCTCCTCTTAGTTTAGTTTCATTTCTTTCCCATCCTCCTCATCCTGGTTTTGTTCATTTCCTTCATCACAGGCTAAACTCTCTATCAAAAGGGTGCCTTGGAGCCAGCCTCGGGGACAAAAATGCAAACCTGAGCACAAAGTACCATTTGGTCAGCAATCCTCAGTATCACGCATGCCCTAAAAAGCATGTCAGCAGGGAGGGAGACAAATATTCCACGGTATCATCCACAAGCACCCTGAGTTTCTGATCCCAGCTTTCAGCTGGAGGAGCGCTGGCTTGAATAGAGGCAAAAGTGAGAGTGAGATGTATTTGCCCTTGGACTTCATTGTGGGGCCCTGCCTGGTGGTTCTCACCTGCAAAAACCTACTTCTAATGGCCCACGGGTGCTATTACTCATGTTTAATACCCCTTAGTGCAGTGATTCTTAGCGCCAGCTGAACATTAGAACCGCCTGGGGAGGTTTTAAATTGCCAGTTGCCCAGGCTGTGCTCGAGGCCAATGAAAGCAGCTCTCGGGGGGGCAGGACCCAGGCTTGAGTGACTGTTAAAGCTCCCCGGGTGATGTCTGCGGACAGCCAGCGCTGAGTCCCTGTGCCTTTGCGTATCCCCCTGCCTCTAAAACAATGTATTCACATCAACAGCAGAAAATGCACCCAGATGTGGAAAGACAAACAGTCATTTACTTTGAAAGCAGATTTAAAAAAAAAATGCTCCACCGAGACTGTCAGGTGGCTTAAAATAACACACCAACATCAGGCGAGACATACAACCAAGCAAATTACCCAAACCCCTGTTTCCCATTAAAGAGTATTTTTAGGGGTGCCTGGGGGGCTTAGTCGGTTAAGCATCTGACTTTGGCTCAGATCCTGATCTCGCACTCATGAGGTCGAGCCCCACATCGGGCTCTGTGCTGACAGCTCAGAGTCCAGAGCCTGCTTCGGATTCTGTGTCTCTTTCTCTAACCCTTCCCTGCTCAAGCTCCATCCCTCTCAAAAATAAACATTAAAAAAGTTTTTTAAAAAGAGCATTTTTTTAGTCACAAGTCATTTTATGCTAAGGTCTACCTTACCTACTTTTGTGAGGGTACAGGCAGGAGCAGAGCAAAATCTAATGGATGGTGGCATTCTCCACCACTCAAAGCTCTCCTGGGGCTTCAGGGATGGCTTTAATTCAGCAAAACCACCTCCAAGATTCCTCCCTGCCGAATACGGATTAGGCTAATAGAGGGCAGCTATCTGGGTAAGATCAGGTCTACAAGCAACAAGAGAGCTGAGCTGCAGGCTTGTTCCTGTAAACCAAAGTTGTTCTAAAGGTAAGTCGTACCACTGGTGTATTTCCAATGTCGTTGGAATACCAAATCAATGCACTATATATTTTTTATCCAGGTAAGTCTTTAAACTCCAAAAGCACAGCTCCCAGAGGTTAGCCATGGGGTCCCATGCCCTCCAGGGAGGAAATGCCACCTGTGACCCACCGTTTATCCATCTTCATCAGGGGACACTCAGAGGAAGACTGCTAGTGACACAGTGTCCATTTCACAGTGACCGTGACATACTCTTAAACACCTGATAATCCACAGGTGTTCCCAACGGAAGCTCAGAATGCAAGAGCCCTGCGTTCTCACCCCAAGAGACTTATTAGAACCATGCATGAAATGTTAACAAAATCCAGAGAGAGAGGAGAAGGCAGTGGCCTTGGGGACAATAAACAAAATAGCTTCAAAATACAGGGAAAGGTGAGTTCTTGCTCACAGGACTTCAGAGCATTCGGGGATGTGCAACGGCGCCGAACGGTGTGTGCTGTCAGTCCTGCCGTTCCCCAGACTGACCTGTTAGAACCTGGCAGAGCCGCCCAGGGATCTGGGCCTCGGTGGAGGGGCTGGGTGTCGAGGACCATTTGCGCCTGACCAGGTGTTCTCGTCCGCCGTGTGGGCCCTGGGAATTGTTGAGTGGCTGGATTAGCACCTGCTCCTGCCCGAGCTGGATGAGGCCAACCTGCCCAGAAAGAGGAAAACGGGACATGAGTCATCCTCCTTCACACACAGCCACAACGCGGACAACCCGAGGGCAGCAAGGTGGCCTAGCCGTGGCCTGGTCCCCACATCCGGGCTCTGGCTTTTCAGGTTACTCCGATTTACTGAGCCCAAGAACGCGCTTTTGTGTGACTTGAAGCATCCCACCCAGTGGCCATGTTTGGGGAGGGGGGGCTCGGGGGTGCAGAGATGTATACCACAGCACCCACTTTCCAGGTTCACTTTCAAAAGAAATGTATTACTCTACTATTAATTAAAAGAAACGTCCTTTAAAAAAATTTTTTTTAATTATTTCTTAAATCATCCTCCAAAAGCCCACTTGAGGAAGCAATACCAAAACTGTTGGGAATGAATGACGGTTACATCCTTAATGGGAAAAACTGTAGTTTATCCCTGGGGGTATTTAGAATTCAAGAGGATGCCTGGGGCGCCTGGGTGGCTCAGTCGGTTAAGCATCCAACTCATGGTTTTGGTTCAGGTCACGAGCTCACAGTTCGGGAGTTCGAGCCCCACATCGGGCTCTGTGTTGACAGTGCCAAGTCTGCTTGAGATTCTCTCTGTTCCTCTCTCTGCCCCTCACTCCACTTACGCGCTCTCCCTCTCAAATAAATAAACATTAAAAAATAAAAAGAATTAGAGGATGGAGTCAGTCCTGTAGTAGCAAAAGCTTTGTGATAGGGGATTCCTATGTTTTTTCAGAATTTGCAGTGTTTGGGGCACCTGGGTGGCTCAGGTGGTTAAGCATCTGACTTTGGTTCAGGTCATGATCTCAAGGTTTGTGACTGAGCCCTGTGTCAGGCTCTGTGCTGACAGCTCAGAGTCTGGAGCCTGCTTCAGATTCTGTGTCTCCCTCTCCCTCTCTCTCTGTCCCTCCCCTGCTTTTGCTCTATCTCATTCTTAAAAAAAAGGTAATAAAACATTGAAAACTTTCTTTAAAAAACTTGCAGTGTTTAAGAGAACTCGTCGGAGTGTCCAATGAATTTGATTTGTGATTTTAGTTTAAAGTGCATCACTGGAGTTAGATGTGTGATTTTAAAGTCTTATTAGGTTTGTAAGCAATAGAAGAATGTGTAAGAAAACTTAAGACTTCCCATGTTTATAGGACTAGCTTATTAGGTTTAGAGGAATCGCTTTAGTGTATTTACAAAGGGCTCCTTGGCCAACCAAAAAACTTGACAAGGAAACAATATGTTCAGTTTCTCAACACAGGTTTAAAGGTTTAAAAGTTGTAAATCACCAAATTTACAAGTGGGGCCAAATCTTATCTAAAGCTTCCTTGAAAAGGATCGCAAAAACCTTGCGAGATAAAAGCGATTAAGAGTACACTTATGTAGATGCACGCAGAGAAATGTACAGAATTGTTGAATCATATTGTATACTTGAATTCCAAGCAGGCTCCACACTGTCAGTGCAGAGCCCGATGCTGGGCTCGATCTCCCCAATCATGAGATCATGACCTGACCGTAAATCAAGAGTTGGACATGTAACCAACTGAACCACATAGGCACACCTAAATAGGATGTGATTTCTAAATTGACAGAAAAATTTAAGAACTAGGATTTTTAATTTGCTGCTTTAGTGGAATGAATATTAATTCCAAAATAAATATACAGAGTGCAGAGAACTTTTCCATCTCTTAGAACCAATGCTGATGGCCCAAAGCCAATTTGCATCCTTCCCTGGATTGCCAGCTACTAGCTTCTCTTCTGAGGTGTCAAGAAAGCCACATAAACCCCCCACAAGAAACCCAACTGGGCCGCGGCTGGAGGAGGACCCATGCTTGCACACTGGTCTATAGAGGACACAGCGCCTCCTCTAGGTGAATGCCCAAACCATCTTTGCTAACCAGATCCAGTAGATCAAGCAGATTAGTCTCAGGCTAAAATGGTCATCATCTCTTCTCTCTCCCCCACACTATTCTCCAAAGGCCGTGTCATACTGAAGCAGGGGCTCTCAAATTCCAATGCACATGAAAATCACCTGGACGTCTTGGGTAGGCCCTAAGAATGTGCATTCTAAGTAGTCCCCGCATGATACTTATGCCACCGGTCCGTGGACTATACTTTGAGAAGCACTGCTCTCCCTCCCAGCAAGTCCTCTGATCTCAAAGACAGAGCTCCCTCCATCCAAACAGTAGACCTCCTGTACATTCTGAAAGGATACCTGGATACCAAGCCTCTGTGAAAGTACATCGGACCAACGAAGAAGATTGCCTACAACCTTGAGCCCCCAAAACACAGGGGAGACCTACTTACAGCTCTACACGGATCTCAAGGTTTCCATTTCATTACAACTTCTGCCAAGAACAACTCAGAGATTTTACTGCCCAAATAAAACTGTTTTAAAGTGGCACTGCGTGACCCGCAGGGAAGCATGGCTTTCTTCCCTCTCCTTTGAAGTAAAAACTTGAATTTGTTCACGAAGATACTTTGGGGAAACTGAAGCGGATGCAGAAGGTGGCCATGGGGGTACATAGGGCTCCACTGAAACTACACCTAAAGATGCCTCAGTGCAGAACACACACCTCCGTGACTGTGGCAGACACTTCCACATGTTGAAATAAAGTTGGCAGGGATGGCCCAGCACGTGGGATGAGCCCCGCATGGAAGGAGCCCCATGCTCTTCAGAGGATGCACTCAACCTGGACTCTTCCTGAAATGCTCTGGCTTTGGGAGGCCACGGGCCCCCCTTGGGTCTAGCACTTTCAAAGCCAGGAAGCATACCGATCTAGTGTTTGCATTCACAAGCCACAGGGTAAAATGCCAGTTAGTAGGGGATCCTGTGTGGCTCAGTTGGTTAAGCGTCTGACTCTTGATTTAGGCTCAGGTCATGATCTCACACTCCATGAGTTCGAGCCCCACAATGGGCTCTGTGCTGACACCATGGAGCCTGCTTGGGATTCCGTGTCTCTCTCTCTCTGTCTCTCTCTCTTACAAAATAAATTTTTAAAAAAGGGGGGGTGGCAGTGAGCAGGTACTTCTAATGCAAGACAAGATAGGGGCCCAGCCCCTTGGTGAGGAAGCCTGCAAGTACGTACACACAAGCATAATCTAGCCCCTTTCAGTTCTGCTTCAGCAGGTTCCTTTGGAGGGGCCGACATGCTGGTTCCTACACCTTTAGGGGAAGAAATGGGAATAATGGTAAGGTGATTACGGGGACTGATGGACTGCATCCTCCCTAGTGGCTTACTTACCCTACTGGGACCTGACGTGCAAGAAGAACTGTGGCCAGGACCAGCACCCAGGAGGGCAGGGGCCAGGCACTAGGAAAGACACTGTCTTGCCCCTCCCCGAGTCTGTCTGTCACTAGGATCCCTGAAGTATCTCCTAATGCTCATCCTGCCATCGCATTACCAATGATAAAATGTTCTGTTGAAAAATGCCCCGTGCGCCCCTACGCACATGCAATTTAGGCCCAGGGCAAATACTTGGCAGCCCTCCTTACCCTCCCCTGACCTTCCCACTTCCTGCCAAAGCCCTACCCTTTCACTAGCATTCTGTGTCGCAGCCCACTCTCCGCTGCGTTAGGAGGCATTTGTCACAACCTAATCATGTGTTCCTCTGGGAGAGGATCACGGTTATTCCTCCCTTATTTTTCCAGTGTCTGCCACCTAGCAGCTCCTCAAGAAAGTATGAGTGGAATAGAACAGAATCAAATGGATGGGACCAGCATGAACTTTCTGTAGTCTCCCTAACTCAGTGGTTCTCATGCCCAGCCACACATTGGAGCTGTTTGGCAAAGTGTGGAAACTCCCAATGCCCAGGACCCCCTCCAGGCCAACTGAGTCTGAATCCTTGGGGGTAGAACTCCAGCATTGCAATTATGAGCTTGCCGGCAGATTTCAAAGTACAGCCGGAGCTGGAAACCACTGTGCTTTTTGTTTTCTAAATTTTTTTTTAAATGTTTTTATTTTTGAGAGAAAGAGACAGAATGTGAATGGGGGAGGGGCAGAGAGAGAGGGAGACCCAGAATCTGAGCTGTCAGCACAGAGCCCCATGCGGGGCTCGAACCCACAAACTGTGAGAGCATGACCTGAGCCAAAGTCGGATGCCTAACCAACTGGGCCACCCAGGCATCCCCCACTGTGCTAGCTTTTAAGTGAGTGCCGGAGATGCACTTGATTTTGATGTCTGGAAGCAGCCTGGATTTGAACTGCCTGCATGAACCTAGACCTTCCTCTGACCATGGGACTCTGCCCCCTGCCCTGGCTTCTAGCCCATTGCTGCCCTGTGGCCCCAGAAGCTGGGCAGGGCCACCTGGATTTGCATTAATCCTCTGGTCATGGTCTATGCTGAGAAGTGAGACACAGGGATGTTCTTCCAAGGTCCCCATGCTGTACTGATGGCAGCAAGGGAGCAGTGGTTAGGAGCCTCATGGCAGAGGACTACAGACTTCATCTCAAGAGACACAACAGTATAGGAATACTGGCAGCAGACAGAATTGGAAGCCCGAGGCCACCTGGTTCTAAAGGACACAATAATCCTCCACGAAACAATGCTCTTAAAAGAGCAATCTAGAGTGTTCTAAGATGTGGTCTCCTACCAAAGGAATGTGTGTCAAATAAAATGCCACCAGGTATAACCTGATATTCTAACCATTCGGAATGGCTCCTTCTTAATTCTCTTTGCTCTGAGTGCTTGCTTTGAGGGTTTCTGCACTGCCTTAGGAAAGCATTACAAATCAGGTGCCGTGAACTAACTCCACCCCACCCTCCAAAGCAGAACTGGCTCTCCTTGTGGTGTGGAAAATGCACAAAGTGCACAAGGGTTTTTATCATCTGCTAACATCAGCACAACTTGTCAGCATCACATAGACAATTAAGATCATGTAAAAAACACATCTGTCATATGGATGCTCTAGAACTGAAGAACACACACGTGTGCAGGGAGGACGCCCCGTGACTATATACCTTGCTGTCCCATAAAGACCCCACTGGAGTTTCAGTCCCTGGGGAGCCCTCTG